AGAGGTTTATTAAGCAGAATGGCCAAACGTGGAGATGGAGACAGCAAAATAGATCCCAGTCATGACTCAGAGTTGTCTTCTGGAGATGAAGACATTGTTTAGAAGAAAAGTTACTCAACGTCAGTTGTGTGGCGGTGGTTTGGGTATGTCAAAAGTGATGTTGAGCAAATCAAGCTGACATGCAAGGTATGTCGGCGAATGGTGCCCTCAAAAACTGGCAACACTACGAGTCTATTTAATCGTCTAAAGAAATAACATCCAAGTTATAAGACAGAGAGCATGAAAATGCGAGCAGAGTCCAGACAACTGGTCATTTTGTCTCAAAGTAGACTTAGCACTAGCGCGGCTGCTAGTAGTGGTTCAGCCATCACTAGTGGTACAGCTGCACAACCAAAACAGCAATCGATCATCTCGTAGTTTTCAGCTGTTGCACCGTACGGTCAAAACTCAAAGAGAAGGAAAACCATTACAAAAGCTATAACCGTTTGTATAGCAAAATACATGATGCCTCTGAACACAGTAGATAAAGGATTTAAGCATTCAATCAAATTGCTGGACCTGAGGTACGAAATACCCGGCCAAAAATATTTTGACGCATGACGAATGTAGAGAAAACGTACAGATGGAGATCAAAGAGGTTTCATTCTTTGCAACTACCACTGATCTTTGATTGAGTCATTCATCTGAGCCATATTTGAGTCTAACAATACACGACATCAGACCAGACAACAAATCATTCACATTAATATTTACTATTTAATCACACAATAAAAACAGTTAAAGCTATTAATATTTTCTCCCATTATTATCTTTTTTATGTGTGTTTGTGAAGCAACTTGTGCTTGTGATTTTTGTCTAGAGAGGAGCTTTATAAAAACATGTTTACTCCAAAAATGCATGGAGGAAATCTGTAGGTAGAAATAGCTTTTAAATGTATTAAATAACAAAAAATGCTCAGTTTTCCCTGCATTACCGCGGCAGGCTGGGTGCACGTTTTTCGAAGCCGTCTGATAGTTTTTCCTCACTAAAACATCAGCTCCGTTAGAGAGACGCACGCATTCTGACACCTTAGTTTGTTTAAACTAACGTGTGCCATCAGAAACATTCAAACCATTTTTAAAAGAGAAGTTGAGCTTTCAAGTCAACTAAAGTGCGCGACTCCACACTCGCGCTGATGAAGCAGAAACCAAGCTTTAGAAACCAGCCTGAACCTGCTCCGATGTGGGAGGAGTCTCTCTCTCCCTTACTCAGCTACATTCTCTCTCTCTCTCTCCCGGGCTCACCTATGGTGCCATTATTATCGACTCTAGCAGCGCTGTGTGTGGGAACATAAAACAGGGAAAATAACCTGAACATGCAGCTCTGTCAGCTGTGGAGTTGGGCTCGGCTCTGGACGGTACACCCCACCCCCTTCCCCTGCGCTTGCTTTTGCCAACGCCATAACACGGGGAAAACCATGGATGCAAAAAAAAAGTTACACAACTGATCCTGGATCAGTCAAAACCGCTAATAACAAAATGGTCTAATGTGAAGATAATAACATTTTATAGTGCAAGGAGCCAATGTCCATATATGTGTGGACACAGGGCCCTAGGAGGTTAAAAAATATTTATCAGGACTCTTGCTGTACCATTTTGGATCAAATGAAGGCTTTTGTGGTCTATCTGACACTTACTATACCCAGTTTTTGGCTATCCCTTGATTAATAGCATTTGAAAACAATGCTAGCTAAAATTGTCTTATGAAGTTTGTAGGTTTAGCATTTTGTAGTCTGTATGTAAATTCTAAAAATATTGTAGATTTGTCAAGTTATTTAATATTTTTTAGGTGGAAGCATGAAAGACAAGAAGATTGAGAGAGCTGTTGTTGTGCCCAGGAAACTGGTCAGTGCTTTTTCTTACTCGTGGAAAAAGAAAAAAGCACTAGCTGCTGCCCAGGATGAACTTAAACTGCCAAAGCACAAGTTGATCACAGAATCCCCCACCAGTTGGGGGTCGCGTCATGCAATGTTTGCAAGAATTCTGGAGCAGGAGAAGGCCATTGCAAAGGTTTTGTCAGACGATAGAAAAAGCAAGCTCCTGAATCCTTCATGGCAGGAAATTGATGTCCTAGAGTCCGTCCACAAGGCCCTAAATACCCTGGTTGACTTAACTGACGCCCCTTCTGGAGAAGCATATGTCAGTGTCTTTTGTGTGAAACCTGTCCTTCAGCTCTTATATCAAGAGGTCTTAAAGCTAGAAGGCCATCAAGTATTCAGTCACCTGCTACTTAAATGAAAAATATGATGATGATGATGCCACTGATGACCTCTTGAGCATGGCAACCCTTGTTGATCCTCGCTTCAAGACCAACTACAGGTCCTTCTAAAAAAATTAGCATATTGTGATAAAGTTTATTATTTTCTGTAATGTACTGATAAACGTTAGATTTTCATATATATATTAGATTCATTACACACAACTGAAGTAGTTCAAGCCTTTTATTGTTTCTAATATTGATGATTTTGGCATACAGCTAATGAAAACCCAAAATTCCTCTCAAAAAAATTAGCATTTCATGAAAAGGTTCTCTAAACGAGCTATTAACCTAATCATCTGAATCAGCTAATTAACTCTAAACATCTGATTCTTGAGGCTTTTAAAAACTCCCAGCCTGGTTCATTACTCAAAACCGCAATCATGGGTAAGACTGTCGACCTGACTGCTTTCCAGAAGGCCATCATTGACACCCTCAAGCAAGAGGGCACCATGGGCCACTCATTGCACAACGTTGACATCAGCAAACCGCTCACCCACACAATGCCAAACACACAACTTTTCATCTGCCCTAAACAGTTAAAACCGGGACTCATCTGTGAACAGACTGCCTCTCCAATGTGCCAAACGCCATTGAATGTGAGTGTTCACCCACTCAAGTCGGTTACGACGACAGACTGCGGTCAGGTCCAAACCCCAATGAGGAGGACGAGCATGCAGATGAGCTTCCCTGAGATGGTTTCTTACAGTTTGTGCAGAAATTCTCAGATTTTGCAAAGTGGTTGTTGCTGCAGCTGTTTGGGTGGCTGGTCTCAGGCAATCCTGGAGGTGAACATGCTGCATGTGAAAGTCCTGGGCTGGTGTGGTCACACGTGGTCTGTGGTTGTGAGGGCGGTTGGATGTACTGCCAAATTCTCTGAAACGCCTTTGGAGACAGCTAATGGTAGAGAAATGAACAATCATTTCATGGGCAACAGCACTGGTAGACAGTCCTGCCGTCAGCATACCAATTGCACGCTCCCTCAAAGGTTGCAACATCTGTGGCATTGTGCTCCCAAGTTTTACATGTCACCAGAACAACCAACCGCAACACAATAAAAGCAGTGTTATACAAAATGGAAGGCTTGTAGTGTTTATTCTCTTACAGTACCAATTTATCAAATTTTTTTGAGGAATTTATGTGAGATTTTCTGGTTTTTATTAATTGTGCAATAGAAAAATAATCGATAGATTAATCATCTAAATAGTCCTTAGAATAGTCGACTATTCGATAAAATAATTGTCAGAATAATCGGTTTAAAAATATTCGTTTACCCCCAGCCCTACATATTAGTTTCAATATAAAGGGCGACGGTGGCACAGGAGTTAAGTGCTCGCCCCATAATCAGAAGGTTGCAGGTTCGAGTCTCGCTCAGTCTGTCGCTGTTGTTGTGTCCTTGGGCAAGACACTTAACCCACATTGCCTGCTGGTGGTGATCGGAGGGACTGGTGGTGCCAGTGCTCAGCAGCCTTGCCTCTGTCAGTGCGCCCCAGGGCAGCTGTGGCTACATTGTAGCTCATCCCCACCAGTGTGTGAGTGTGTGTGTGAATGGGTGAATAACTGGTTGTGTTGTAAAGTGCCTTGGGGGGTTCCAGGACTTTAGAAGGCACTATGTTAAATACAGGCCATTTACAGGCCATATATAACAAGCCTTTTACTTTTTAAATTTTGATTATATTTGTTAAATTAAATATACAAGCGAGTTAGCACGCGCTAGTCACCGAAGCTGCAATTACTAAGCAACTAACCAACCATAGATAACTTTTTTGGATAAAAAAACATTTGAAATTAATTGACTTACTTTTAAATTTGAAATTTGCCCCCAAAGTAGCTGTCGGCTTCTGATCCGCCATCCTTTTGAAAATACTGTGGTGTATTCTGGGTAATTTTTGACCAAGGCTAGGCTACAAGACACCTCCCGTGTATCCTTGCTCAGCTAGCTAAATGGCTAACAAATGGAAAACACATGCCTCGGTAGAACATGAACATTGGAACATGTCTTGGTGGCTCCTGATGATGTATCTCCTAGGCAACCGGGGTGGGGCCAAGACATCAAGGTGAGGTTCCTTGGCACTGAGAAACACCCTTGAACATGTCTTTAAAACCACAAGTAGAAGAGCTAAAAGCCCTTCTTCAAAAGAAAGATGTTTGCGCTGTCGCCAGATGCCATTTTTGACTACAGCTAAAAACTATAACATTGCGGACGACAGACACAGTGACGCTCAGTTTCTCATAAACAACGAACACAACTGCGGCGTTCGCAGCGGCTCTTTCCTCTGTTCTAAATGACTTGAATGTCTTTAAAACAAGTAGAAGCGCTGAAAGCATTTCTTCTAAAAAAAAAAAGATGTTTGCCAGACTCCTTTTTTATACTACAGCTAAAAAACTACAGCGTTGCGTGGTACAGTTGGCCGTCTTTTTTCTGATTGGTTATTTTTGAGCTGGGTAGTCCCGCCCCTCAAGTGCCTCTCTGCCTGTGAGTTGCCAGACTCTTTCGCTGTGCAGAATTAAACCGAGGATGAGTCTGGCAGACCAGGCTAGTTAACCGGGCCAAACTATTTTACCCGGTTACGACACTTAACTGCAATAAACTGGTTCAATATGTACGTCCCTGTCTCTAATGATGCATGTTTTAGTTCTTCATTGTGCATTGTTATTGCATGAATATATTTCTGTATTTACTAAGTAATTTTGTGTTTTTCTAGTTATGGCTTTGTGTACTTTAACAAAGAGGTCAACATTGAGTCAATTGTTGAGGTGAGTTAATGTCTGTCTGTGTGGTTAATTGCTACATTATCAAGTCAGGGTAATGTTTTCTTTCTGAATGTATTTTTTCTTAACAGCAACAGATCAGTTTTAAAGGACGGAAACTCAAGCTGGGTCCTGCAATCCTGAAGGAAAGACGCCCACGTATGTTTTTTCTAACGTCAGTGGATTCAGTCCAAATGCAATGGGAAATAATGGCGCTTAACATTAGCGTCAGCACGGTCGGGGTTTGGTCGGGCTGGATGGCGTGAGTTCGGTCTCGAGAGGGCAATGTAGTGTTCATATATAAATCCGAGGGACTTCTCAGGAATGCGGAAATCCCCGAGCTTGTGGGCGGCGTTTAATAACGCGCTGGGAAGTCTGCGGTGTCCAACATCAACAGAACAGGCGCACACACACACGGAGAGCTCACTTTCTTCTCCCCGTTCCCACTGAGCAGCAGCTCCAGAATGGCAGCTCCGTGCTACAGGCAGAAGTTTACTCAACAGCATCCAGCATGAAATGAATCACACATGCGGGAACACCCCTCCCCCCCTCCCCCTCCTGGCTCGTTCTTTTAGCAGATCGGAGGCGGTAGGCGTAATTTCAGCTGGCCAATCAGTCCGTAGTGACTGACTTCTGGGGAAAAGGTCTGAAAAAAAAGAGTTGCCTCGGAACCGAAAACGCATATCTGACCAAATTCCATAAGGGAACAAACTGACGCTTATGTGTAAGCGCTATTATATGTTTCCAATAAGTAAACACCTGCCGATAGAAAGCACATCCACATACATGTTAACATGTTATCTCAGTTTCTTTTTCTCTGTGCAAACTTCCCCTCCTGCTGGACACCATCCTTTAATGGAAGTGATATTTTTGTGTTTCCAGGTCCAATTGTTTCTCATCTAGTTGGACCGACTACTTGGACAAGTCCCTCAGGTTACGTCTACTGTCCTTGCTGCTCGCCTGTGGGAGGAGGGATGACTCAACCCTCACCCATCCCCAGTGGAAGGACCCACTATAATCAGGTACGTCCCTCTCATGGGTGAGCCGATCTCACGTCGGCTTGCAGGGAAACTGAAATAGAAAGTAGCTTTTAAGGCTAAACATTTAATTAATCAGGGGTTGGTTTGATTTTTCTGTTAACGTTTCAGTTTACTTCAAAAAGGAAAAGAGTAAAAAGGCCAAAGTTTGTAAATGTGTCCTCTTTGCTGCTTACAGCCGTACTCCTACAACAACTTTGGAGAGGTGGTGTTTCCTCTGATGTCCACGAACTACTCACATGGTCCTTATTATCAGGTATCTAGACACTCTACACCCCCACTGTTCCTGTAGAAGCACATCTGGATTTCTGTTGTTTACTGGACTGTTGTGTCCTGTAGCCCCTCACCATGCAGTACACCACAGCTCCCTGGACTCCAGACCGACCGACACAGCTTTTCAATCAGGTGATTATTTATTCTGATGTAGATTATTTTGATTCAAACAAAACATTTAAATTTCTAAAATAAATTATTTATTTAACGAACTAAACAACGTTTTGGCCCAATGTGTTTTCTGTAAGTGTGATATCAGTGCTGACCGCTAGATGGTGCTGCTGTGTTTGTGTTCACATGCTGAAGATGATCTCTGTTCATGTTATCTACAAGAGACCTTGTGGCCGTGCTGTTTGTGTGTTTTTATGACAGCTGTTGAGGTCTTTGAAGGAACATATGTGGGTTTGTTCTCATTGTTCTTGTTCTCTGATGTTTCCAGAGCTTTGTGGACTGTGGAGTCCAGACTGTGCTGTAGTTTTTAGCTACTGAGCCCCGTGGCAGGTACAAACTCAACTGTTTGAAATGATTGTGCAAAGTAAATCTCGGCCGTCCTCACTTCCAGTACACCCATCTGCTGAAGTATCTGTAGTGTGTCTTTGTTTACATTTGAAATAGAAACCAGCTTGTTTGCTTGCTCTCTTTCCCCAGATGCAGGCCGCGGTGGCTTTTGGGAATCGGAGCGCAGACGAGATGACATCTGTGGTTCTGGACGTCTGGGAGCATCCCAACTTTCCAGAGGGCCTTTGCTCTTCCCTGTCTCTGCTTTAGTTTGAGCTATTTTAACATCGGACAGCTTTCTGCTTCAGCTGATCCCAGCCATTTTACCCAGGAATGATGAGGCTGATCTGTGATCAGATGCTTTTAACTCACACAGATCACAGTGACTATCGTACATGAAGAGTTTCTACCAGCTGACACAAGGGGTCACTTTAGTTGTTCTGTTTTTTCTAATACCGGAGAATGAAAAGACTTAGACTCACATTTTGGTGTGTACTTCTAATTTATTTATGTTTTCACTTGTTTATTTCAGTTTCTTTATGTGGGTTTTGCTCCTGGTTAAAGGCTCTGCACGTTTCTATGTGAATATTATAAACGTCTGGACAGCAGTCTGGTTGTTTTCTACACTGGAGATGTTCTGGTTCATTATAATGCTTCTGTGATTACAATCTTTTATTCACTTTTCTACTCAAACACAAGAAGGATCAAACATTGATTTTAAACTGTTCACTGTTCACGTTGTTACTGTAACTCGGCAGCCTATTTTATATTTCAAAAGTGCGGCACTTGTTGGAATGTTAACCTGGTGTTTGGTGTGCTTTACTTTTAAACCCACTATTTAGGATGTTTTCCCTGATTATTTGCTTTGATAATAAAGATTGAATTTGTTATTGTATTTTTCCTGCTAGTTCTCCATCCTCGCATGGAGCGGTGGAGATGAGAGGGTCCTGACAGCAGCTGCTGCTTACCAGCCAGCCTCAGGTTAGCCGTCCTGCCTGGCAACAAGCCCATCATCCTTAGGTCGCAGGGCGTTTTGTTTTGTCACAGTCTGATGGTCTAACCAGGTTCCTCGCAGTGGCCTTTTCCAGCCTTTGACCCACCCCTTCCTGCTGTCAGACGTCCTGAATTATGGATAAGTCTGAGCTCCTTATGAAAAATGTATTCTCTTAGGGACACGTGAAAGAAAACAAACGGGCTACAACTTAAAAACTCATGGCGCCAAAACATCTGGATACAGGGAAGTTGGTTTTACACTTATTAAACGTATTCATTTACTGGAGTATTTTTATTATTTAAAGACTTAATTATTTTAATTCTACAGTGTTTGACCTAGGCAAAGCAGTGAGAATTAGCGCCCTCTCATTTATACACACACACACCTGCCGACACACGCAGTGGTTATCCAGTCAGTTTTAAGTAATTGAGAGATTCATGTTTTCCTCTCATTGGATCTCGGCGGCTGTCTGAGCCGCTGCGTGTCTAAGAGGAGAGGAGGGACTCAAGTTAAAGAGGAAGGTTTCAGTCCGGTTTCCACTCCGAGCAGAACACCCGCGCTGGTGAGTAGAGCCTCTTTCTGTTCACTATCACGCCATAATGCTGCGGTAGATTTCTCATATTAATATGTGTAGCCGAATTATTTTTAGCGTTTTTCTCACTTTTGCTGAGTCCCGTCAGATTTTTCTGCTTGTAAACAACTCAAAGTTCAGGTGAAGCAGGTGCGTCTTTAGTTTAAGGATAACACGTCCCTTCATAATGAAACCGTTAGTCTAATGGTGTCATAACGTGCTTGTGAGTGTTGAAGTGAACTCGTGCCATGTGCGTGTGCCAGGTGTGAGTGTGAAAGCGCGTGCCCGACTGGTCCTGATATTTCCCGTCCATAAGCCGGTTAGCCTCCGCTACAGGTACGTGCTTGGTGTGACACCTGGAAATTGAAGTGAGAAACGTTGGGCAGTAACATCTTAATTTTATAAATTCCTAATTGAAAGTCACAAAAAAAATTAACTTGTAATTTTTATTGATTGACAATTGGCAAACGTGTTGCTAGCATCAAGTTTTGCTACCAGTTTGCCAATGTGTAAATTAGCAGGCTATGCTAAACTGTTTTTAGTTCATCATTGCCATTTGTAAGATTTATTTATATCTAAAGCCGTGTTTACACACTTGCCACCTCACTTCTCACCTTCCGCCGTTCAGTGATGGATTGCAGTAACTAAAATAAGCGTAAATCTCATTTCTGAATCGCATTTTAACACCGTTTTTCCTTTATCGTGACAAAAGTTAAGACAACACGTGTTTCTTATTAATTTAACAGTTCATCTTAGATGTAGATGCTGTATTTTAAGGACCTGTGGATAAGTGGACAACCCTATTTGTCAGAGGGAGAGGTTAAAAAGAAGGGAACCAGAAATTTGTAATTTCAAGCAAGGCTGCACCCACAGAAGGCTTGAGACATCAGTTCGTGCGTTGGTGCTGGCTCTGTGTGTCAGGGCATTAGTGTGTTCGTGTTATCATCCCCATCTAAAGCTGTTCTGAATCAATTTAATATCACATAAAATTGGGTTTTAGTGAAACGATATTCCAAATCATAGTTAATGAGCAGTTTTAAGATAAAACAGGAAGTGCCGGAAGTTGTGATACAAACCGATACATCAGTGTCAGAATGGGCTTTTACCCTTCCCGTGCAGCCTCATTAAAACCCTGTTTGAGGTGACTACTTTGTTGCTTGGAGGAATCACACCTCCCTGTAGGCGACTTCGCATGCTCCCTACTCGACTTGGTGTCTGTCTCTCTTCATTTCCTCCTCCTCCTATTCTTCTCCCCCTTGCTGCTTTTTTCCTTGACCATCAGCAGCATCCCCCATCAGTGGAGCCCTGTGGGAGGGAGGCCCACTCCACAGGAACCAGTCTGTCACCTCCAATTCAGAAAGTCTGTGAAATACTGTACATGGACTGTAGAAGCAAACCCCCAAAACGAGTAGCTTTGAACAGCATATGGAATATGTTATTAAACAGCCACAAAAATATTAAAATTGAAGCCTAAAAGTGACGTACAGTCATTATTCCATCTGCTACGATGATATTGATTTTAAAATAGGCAAGAGAAGATGACTGGAAGCATTGTTTGTTGATTAGTATTCAAATAAATAATATATGTTTTCTATATGTTAGAAGGCTTCCTGTAAAAAGTCCATCCCTGATCTGTGTGTACATGTTAAGTACTAGAAATATGTTGAGGAAATGTCTAAAAATGTGGCTAAACTGTTAATCTGTGTTGCGTTTACTCTGACCAACTTTTTCACCTTAAAACATTAAATATCTTCACGGGTCCTCTTCAACATCTTTTGCCACAGATTTTTTTTCCCCTGGACATAAGCTGGGCTCTGTGGGTGTCAAACCATCTGTTAAATAAGTTCTCTCAATGAGCAACAGAAAATTAATGTAGTTATCTTTATCCAACTGGTAACGGCTGAAATTTTATAAATTTGTCCAAAATTAACCAAAAAAATATTTTCACCGTTCTTAATCAGTTTTCAGTAGGTTGCCATAACTAGATTTGTTGAAAGTAGTTTAGGCAACATAGCGAGAAAATGTTGGATGTGAATCTCAGTTTTTCACTCAGCTGTTATTATATATTCAGTGTGAAATTTCCCCAGAATGCGTCCGTGTGCTGATGAATGATGCTTCTTGTGAAGCAGGCATCCATCAGGTGGCTCTGGAGGTAATAAAGCTGTGACACGGTGCAGACAGATTATGCTCTCAGGTAAATCTGCTGTCATTTCAAGAACTCTGGGTTAAGCGAAACGCGAAAAACGTGCATGTGAAATTTTGCACACCCAGCGACGCGATCCCAGAAAGTTGAAATATTTTCAACTTTTCATCGCTGGCGCTCGGACGAGGACCAATCAACGGAGGTTTCATTCACTGCCCAATGAGTGGACAGGATGCTCTGTACTCCTCCAAGTAAACATGGAGAAGTTGATTATTATTATGTTTTATATAGTAAAATCAGAAGTAAGATTCCACATAACTCTAGCAGCACCTTGTGAAACATCATATCTACCGCTTTATTAACTCCGAACCGCTTAAATAACCTTAATTCCCTCCAACCCGACACAGCCAAACAAAACAACGGAAGTTTCGATTTCGCCATGGAACAGAACGCGTAGACTGCTTTCCCGCTGGCAGCTGCCGCGGGTCGCCTCCATCCATGGACGTAATTATCACTTTAGAAGTGGGGGGGACATGGGGGGGGGGGGATCTTTACAGTATGCTCTAATGTGAAACAGGCTTCAACACAAACGGTTGTTTTCCGCTTGGTCCTAGAGCTCAACCAGTGTCAATTTAATATAGCGTAATATTGTTTTTGGATGGTAAAAAGTGCAGGGGTCAAACCTTGACTTTGGAAAAAGTGGGGGGGACATGTCCCCCCTGTCCCCCCCCCCCAAATTACGTCCATGCCTCCATCGACATATATACGCCTCCCGTGTGTCAGGTAGTAAAAGCGACAGCAGCGAATTTGATCCCGCCCACATTTAGCCCCGATCTCCGGGAGGCAGTCAGGGGTAGTTGACGAATTTCGCTGATCGCGGTCATTTGTCACCTCCCGGGTGTGTCGAGCCCCTTACAAGAGATTCTCTAATGAGAAGCCCTCTGCTGCTCCCTGTCTTTCACTCTTCACTCTTTTTTTCAAAAGTCCTTTCATGTGCATCTCCTCCCGCGTCTTGTTCTGTGAAGGTTTTTCTGCTGTCGGGGCCTTTTTCTGTCTGTGTGTTTGCGCGACAGCAAGTGAGAGATTCTGTTTGAAGTCAACTTGTAGAGAAAAAGGCCTGGTATGTAGCAAAAAGGCCTCGAGTCCTCAGTTGAGAGGAGTTTCTCAGCTACAACCTTGGGTTTTCATTTCAGTGTTGTGTCCAATTACAGATATCTGTTTTTAACCCTCTGACAGAGTTCATCTGTTAAAGTGAAGCCTTTGTTTTGAAGGAAAACTCCCAGCATATAATGAAAAGGTTAATGAGATGTTGAATCAAACACTGGGGCAGCGGGCTGATCAGGAACAGCAGAAGTTATCACATCACCACACTGGCAACGTGGACATTGTATGACTTGAAAATGGGTATTTGTTTAGTGCTGCACGATGCAAAACCAACAAAGATAAATTAGGCTAGGATTAATTTGATTCTTTTGAACATTTCGATCCATTGCATTAGAAACTGTTTCAAATTTGATTAAAGTACCAGAGAGCTTAGAAGAGTCTCCAAACCCAGTGACTTGGGGATGTCTACATTCCCACAAGCACTGATTTTCCTCCCTACTTTGAGCTTGACTCTTACTCCTCAACCTAAATCCCTTTTCCCTAACCTTCCTGAGACAAAGCCTGCATAACAGCCCTTATAGTACATCTGTCCTCTTAGCAGACAAATCATATTAAAATTCAGCCCTGGAGGATTTCTTCCTTGGGATGGGATCTACATGCTCTAACAAAGTCATAACCTAGGACTGCTTGGCTTCCTGTCTGGAGACAATGTAATACAGCAGGTTTACAGGGCTGGCCGGGGCCATTGGGGGAGCTCTCTGGAGGCCAATGACAGAAGGTTTGGGTGGATGGGGATCTTTAGAGAGAACATCATACAACAGTACAATGCAAAGACAAGAAGGCACCTCAAATGTTGCTATTTCTAGCTAGGAAAAGGTGGGTCGATTCTTGGAGTAGTTGGAGAACAACACAGAGCAGGAGACTGATGCTGTATGTGTTTGCTGTGGTTCAAATATCAAACTAAAGGAGGGCATTGTTGACTTACTGCTAAGACAGTTGTACCATCACTCTTAATTAATATGAAGGAGCCATAAAATATAATTAACCCTTATAAATAAAGATGAAATTATTTAAGTCATCACAGAATATGTACTGCAGCTTGGGGGCTGATGGGCTTTTTTTTAATCATTGTTTGGTAAAACAAAGGAAAACTTTACAGTGCTATGCAAGACAACACTTGTCTGGAGTGACACAGAGCTGTTGACTTTAGGGTGAAATCACTCAATGTCCGTAGTTTCATTAAACCCAGCAGGGATTAAGCTGCTAAACTCATGTCTTCTGAAATGTTTAGGTGATGACGCGAGCAGTGGTGAGATTATTTCTGTGATAACATTGGGAGCCAGTGGACGCTGTTTGTTAATCACTGATGTCTGTGAAAACATACTTTATACAAGCAGACCAACTTATTTGTAGTTGTGGAAATTCCACACAATTATTGTAAATGTTTGACCAGGAAAATCCCTAGTTCCTAATGTTAGAGGTAGCAGGTCCAGGAGGTAACCCCAGACATTGATCTCCACAGCAACACTCCCCAGCTCCAACTAAGGCAGGGATGCCTAACTCTGGTCCCGCAGAGCTGGTATCCAACTAGTTTGTTTTTTCTCTTCTTCAGCATACCTGATTTCAATCAGCAGGTGATTACCCAGCTTCTGCAGAGCTTGATGAGCTGCTGAACAGGCCATTCAACCACTGAGGCTTATTCAGATCATCAATTAATCATCCCAAAATAAACCACTTTAATTTGAAATGACATATTTTCAGAAAAGGTTTTCAAGCCTGGCTCCCACAGCAATAGATTGTGGGTAATTACCCTTGTGAACTTTGTTAAAGTGCGGCTCAAGGGTGCAAAAGGGGCGTGGTCAACTTCCGCATTTGAGAATTGGGACACCCTATGAGCTCACGCCTGAATGGAAACACACAATTAAAAGGCGCAAGTGTGGAAGAGGGATTGGGCTGTTGGAGCAGAAAATCAACTAAAACATGCAGGATGCCAGCCCTCAAGGACCAGGATTGGGCACCCTTGCTCCAGGGGATCCCAAGACATTTCCAGACCAGACCAGAGAAGATTAAGTGACCATCCTGTGAGTTTTGGTTCTTCACGATGGTCTCCTCCCACTGGGGCGTGCCTGGGAAAATGCCAATGGGAGACAAAAAGAAGGCATCCTAATCTGATGCTCAAACTAACTCGACCAACTCCTTTTCCCTCAACTTACCAGCTACTTTCCTGTATCTAAATGGTTAACTCACAACTAGAAGATGAAGCAGACATGTAACTAGAACCCTCCAGTAGGGATGCACCGATGGATCGGCATTTGATCCCAATTGGCCGATAGCACCCCTATCGGTTTTGATCAGAGTTTTCAAAATAGATCAAAGCAGACCTATCAGGTAGGGTTGTCACGGTAACCAGTGTAGCGGTAAACCCCGGTAAAAAAAAGTTGACAATAATAATAACCGTCTTGTTTATAAAAAACTATATTATCTCGGTGGGTTACCGTGGCTGCGGTGTAGGCGCGGTGACCCTTACCAGCCACCGTATCATCTGCTGAAGTTGTCGGCGACACATGCGCGCTTTGTTGTTTACAACCAAAACTTCCTTGAAGCTAAAGCTGAAATAATGGCCAAACGAGGAGACGGCAGTGCTCAGGAGGGCATTTTTTATCCCTCAAAGAAGACAAAGTGGGAAGTACGGGCATCTTTTGGATATTTGAAGAATGCCGGGGGACAGTTGATAGAAGACGGCTATCCTGTTTGCAGCACGTGCAGAAAAAGTGTCTGTGAAAGGCAGCAACGCTTCAAATCTCATGGCACATCTGCGTGACCATCACCCACAACTCTACAGTCAACGCAAGGCAAGCTAACGTTAGCGTTTTAGCTAAAATGCGTGATCCGAGGATTTGGGTTGAGGGAGAATGCAACGAGTCGCTATATAAAGCAGCCGCAGCGCCGCTACCTGCATATAAACCGTGTCACGGACACCCTCATGTTGAAATGACGCTATGCATTACGGGGCTCCCAGGGGCAGATAAGAGTTGATCTCTCTCCGAGAATAATTATGAATTTAACAATGATTACTGCCTGATGACATTTTCCCACATCTGCAAAGCTCACTGGAAGGACACAAACCGAGGACAATATTTTCCTGATATACAGGGTTTATTACTCAAGTAAGGGTAAAAAAGTATCTGAGTAGAAGGCTACTTGAGTACTGAGTATCATCTGATCTAATATTTTTAAAATGATGACATCAAACAGACTTAAAATAAGAAGTTATGGGCAAATATTATTTTAAAGACTAAAGGGAAAAAATGTAAACAAATAAACAACATAATAACAATAACACATTTTAGGCAAAATTTAGACACAAACTGAGGACAATATTTCCTGACATACAGGGTTTATTTAATTGTGTGAAAATGTAGCACGTTTAAAAAAAATACCGCGATAATACCGAAAACCGTGGTAATTTTGGTCACAATAACCGTGAGGTTAAATTTTCACACCGTGACAACCCTAATACAGACCATTTTAGATTAGGTTACATTTCCTTTATTCCCAGATTATGTAGTTTGTAGCACTCATTATAATGTTGCAGAAAATTTCTGGCCAATCCACATGATCGGTATCGGTGATCGGTATAGGTGATCAGCATTCTTTTATATCGGTATCGGTGATCGGCAGCAAAAAAACTGATCGGTGCATCCCCACCCTCCAGTGGCTTTCAGCGGATAGAAATCGTACAGAAGTGACTCAATTAGAGACAGAATGCGGAAACAGAAGTTAAAAGTAATAGATTCCTAAAGGGAGAAAGGGAGAATTTAGAGGTCTGAACTAACTGGTGACAAGTGAGGGAAGATTTGTTTTATTTTTGACGTTCTGTAATCAGATGGAAACACATGAATTTACTGTAAAACCAATCAAGGACCATTGTGGAAGATGAATGGAGTTGGTGAGTAATCAAACATAGTGGACAGACCGTTTTAAGACCTTAAAAAGTGGTTATTAATGCATTCAAACGGGTTAGTTAAAAAGCATGGCTCACACAGACTGATGGGTTAGGATGCAGGGATAAGGCCAGGGGATGGAGTAAGAAGAGGAAAGTCTCATTACGAACAAACATGTATTAAAGACTCTTAATTGCACCTATTTTAGTAAGTTTTAAAGTGACTAATCAAAGCAAAAGCAACCTGGATGCAGAATTTTTAGATTCACCTTTTAAAATGCATGCACCATCGAGTTGAAGGCACTGAACACACTCAAACACACACAACGTAATGTCGTCTGTTTGGATCGTTAGCCGAGTTAATGTCCATGCACTCAGCCCCGACCAGAGTTGCCATGTCATTCTCCACGCTCTCCAGACGGATACACCGATGGAGCTGCCCCCCCACACACACACACACACAGACATGCACCCCACTGTGTGGCAGACAGAATTATTAGGTGAATCTGTGATGATGGTTTGAGGGTACCAATGCTGTCACATCCAATTAGTGTGATGAATTTTCTGGGCCACTCCCCCTTCTCCCACTCATGTACTCAATTTCTTTGTTTTACATTTCTTGACTCTCCTAATGAAAAAAATCGTATAATTTGCTGCCAAGACCTTCTAGTGTGAAAGTGCTCATTCTCAGATTTATCTGCTTGTAGGTTTACAATACCCACCAAAAATAAAAGCCAAACTCCAGTTTCTTTGTGCTTCGAGCCTCAGATCAGCGTAGAAATTGGTCTTCTGTACAAGAACCGGAATGTTTTGGCTCACTCCTCTGCTTTCTGTCTGTCTGGTCTGGTGTTGCTCCGCTTGACGGGGCAGGAAATCGGTCTCATTTCTGCTTTAATTCGTTCTGATCAAACATGTCGCTCTCAATCAGGCCCATTTGATTAGAAGATGCCTGTATCACAGTCCACCAAGCAGGCAGAGGCTGACTCCCAGATTTCAGTGCTGTTGCAGTGTGTGTGTGTGTGTGTGTGTGTGTGTGTATTCACCCATTATTTCCCAAAGCTAAGGGTGGCATATGAACAAAAGGATTTAAGTTTGTGCAGAGATTCACACTCTGTTGAAAGTGCAAATGCATGACTTATATTTAGAAGTTCTGCTTCCCCCACCTTCTTGAATTTATTTTTTACTTCTTGTGTTTCTGGAAGCCTCCTTTCAGAGAGAAATGGGGTGTAGGCTCCCAAAGTTACGGAAAGCCGAAGAAAGGCGCAGCCCTGGCAACATCTACTCCACCCTACGAAGGCCTCAGGTGGAAACCCAAGTCGGTGTGGCCTACACCTACCACTTTCTGGATTTCATGCTGGGGAAAGAAGGTACGAACATCTCTCACATCTGCTGACAATCATGTCTTTGTCAGTAATGATTGCTCCCCTCTGACTACTTCATGAATCCCTGTTTAAGTCCAAAGTATGTACATATTTTCTCCTCTCTTCCTGGGATCCGAGCCTGTAAAATCCTGGTGAGACACCATGTGACTCGACACAGCTTGACTCCCACACATGCATACTTGAAATAGTCATGTGTTTTTCCATGTGTCATCTCTCCTTTAAAGAGACACAAGAATGTTAATCAAAATCTTTTTTAAAGATTTTTTTTCCAAGGAAATAATCCCTTCATGCCTTAAAAAGCTTTCTGCATAAGTCCTCCACTTTTGTCTGATTTAATATGAGCTGATTTGTTGTTATGTAAATCAGCTCTGTCTTTATCTGCGCCGCCTTCTCTGGTTTTAGCTGCTCACCCTCAATCCGGCTCAAACACTCCACGTTTGGCTGGAGTCCTCCAGGAAGCAGATAATACTGTGTTGTTCCCCCCCCCCAGCCAAGTCCCTCCTCAGACAACAGGATTGTTGTCAGATTTATTACAGAAATTAAATCCTGGCTTTTTAAATCTGTGTTTGAGACTCATTGTGGTTCTGAAATGGAAATTTCCAACCATGTTGTTCAGCTGATTAGTTTTCTGATCATATTTATTTTAAGCACCTGAGACAAACGGGACAGGTGTGCTTGGATAATCTTGACTTTGATCTTGTCCCTGTTTTCCGAACTGCCCTGGGGTGAGAGGTGGGGCACATACCGGATGGATGGATGTCTCATTTTAGAGCTCAAAGGGCGCGTTGCGAATGACGAAGGTCAGAGGTCAACATTTTTCCCCTTTACGATTTTATTGGTGTTATTTTGGTCTTCACAAGATTCAAACAATAATATATAAGAAGCTGTGGCCCGGGAAGCTCTCACTGCCCCACATTTCTCCTTTTCCTCTGAAGGTGACAATGATAACACGTGAATGAGTGATGGAGGAGGTATTTCAGACACCAATCCTATGAAAAGGACTAATCTTGACTTTGATACCAACTGGGCAAGCTTCATTCAGATCTGTTTCCCATTTGTCCTGGTTCCAGAAACGCCTTCGCATTTCATCCTCACCAGTAAATCAGAGAAATTCTCCTTGTTTGGTTAAATGGGTTATGCTCATTAAAATGCTAGAGTTGCTGTTTCAACTAAAAACTAGATAAATATAAATTGTTCAGGTCAACTGCTCAATGCAGCTTTTCTAAAGTCTTCAGGGTGGGAAGTGGCTTCTTAGCTGGAGTTGTTTGTGTGCAGCTCATGTTGCAGAGGGTTCAAAGATAGTTTATGCATGCTCCATCTCCCTGCCTCTGCTCAATGACAACACAATAAAGATAAAGTGCTGTCTTTGGGAATGTGTTTGAATATGTCTGTGAATATAAAAAATGTGTGTCAAACATGAGTAAATATGCTCGCTGTTTGACGGGAATCCTCCAGAGGCGTCTATTTCTAAAAATACTAATTTCCTCATTGTGCTATCTAGGAAGATGCAGACAGGAGTGACAGAGAGTGGGGAGAACTGCTTGAGAATAGTTTAGTGTTTATGGACAACTGCTTACACCCTGTCACCTGGCAAACAGAAGGTGCAAATGAAATCCCATTTACATGCAGCATCAAATGCAACACTGTAGCAGACAGCAGGCGCCGTGCTGCAGCCAAATGGCAACGCTCTGGTTGCCAGTCGGCATCATTTTCAGCCAACCCTGAAAATCTTTTTGCAAATGGGTTAGGGGTTGTTATGCTGGCAGTGGGAATTCTGGCAAACCAGAATGGTGTCGGTGACGAAAACAGACAATAGGCACAAATGTGGCCTGCCCTTTTCTTATTTAGGGAGTCTGCTAAAGGCTGTAGCAGATGAATGGTCCAGTCATATGTGTCTCAAAAGTGAGACCACACACTTCTCATTCACACCAAACACTTTATGGCTTTTAGTCAACAGAGTGGGTTTTATCTGTCTGCAGACAGGCAGGTCATTTATATGGTAAACTCAGTGATGCCACCTGAGCAGCCTTAGACTATATTTTAGAATAAACACAGCTACTATGAGGTGTGTGTGTGTGTGTGTGTGTGTGTGTGTGTGTGTGTGTGTGTGTGTGTGTGTGTGTGTGTGTGTCACCCCCTTCTGTTTGATAGAGACCAAGAAAAGTAAAGGATTCCTGGAGGATTATCTGATTGTTTGTGGAGATTGAGATACCTCATTCCCAGCTAAAGGATTTGTTTGTTTGTGTGTGTGTGTGTGTGTGTGTGTGTGTGTGTGTGTGTGTGTGTGTGTGTGTGTGTGTGTGTGTGTGTGTGTGTGTGTGTGTGTGTGTGTGTGTATGGAGGAATCTGTATGTCAGCCCACGACATTGAGGAAACTCACGGTCAAATCCGCGCTTTAATTCAATTTGGCTCTCGTTAATGACATTATTTCCTCACTAGTGTGACTCAATGACTTCCACTCAGTAATGAAAAACAAATAAGATGGCCCGGTGAAATATGTCTGACAAGATACCCGTTTAATAAACAAAGTTGTGTTCTCAGGAAAGAGCAGCTCTGTGTTCACTATGAAGAGGAGAGCAATATGTTTTCCAGCCTGACCTTTGACGAAACAATGCAAGCAGTGATCTGGTGTCTTTCTTTTACTAGCGCTACTTCCAGCTCTATATGAGCCTGGGAAATGTTTCTGAGTGACTTCTTCAGCGACTCCAGGTCACAGCGACCCTCTCGTGAATTCTGGAAGGATTGGGGAGGGTGTTCATGTTTTAGACCCTTAGCCTGTGGTTCACACATGAACAATTTTTCTGATTTGTTGGAGTCCATCTCATCATATGACTTTAATAAAGACAGCTGGAAGGAATGAGCTGCTGGATTAGTGTTTGATCACCAATCTGCTGTAACTATACTCTTGGTCGTCCTTGACTTCAACTCACTCATGAACTCAAAGCAGAACAGTCAAAAGAAAATAACAACCACTTTAGGAACCTAAACAGATGACGGCAAAGTAAAACACAAGATTTTACTATCATTTTAGAATCCAGCATGATTTAGAAAACTGCACAGAATTGAAATTTTAAAAGCTAAAAAATAAAAAGAACAGAACACAAAACTGAAAATATGCCTTCAGAAAGTGCACTTGTGCACACATACCTGTGTAGACCATCAACCTATATACTGGACAGTTCGTTTCCATAGGCTCCAATTATAAGTTTTTGTGCCAAAATGGGAGGTTCCTACCACCGCCATTTTGAGCGTGTCACAGGTTCCATCAAACCTAGACAATTCCAAAAATGGGAAAAGAGGTGGAGCTGAGGGTGGGGCTGTAAGGCTGGGATCAAATGACGACACCTGTCGAACTGAAGCGATGTAGCTACAAGCCAACTCAAAGCTAACGTGGAGGTGTGAGCTAAGCTAACGGGGGTAGTTACCTAGCTACAACAGGAGTTAACTGTCCACAACACCAGAGCTTCTGAGTCAGAGATTCGCTGGGCTGACCGCCGGATAAAACCAGGTGGAACACAGAGGTCTCCCGAGAGCTCCACAAGCCGGCAGCCGCGCAGCAAACAGGCGCCGCGATCAGAGATGCGCCAAGCTGCCGCTGAGGGGAGGGGACCATACCGATAGTCAGAATCCAGCTCCACCAACATGTTATATTTCAACCCATTTTCAAAAATGCAGCATTATGTTAAATGCACTGGGTTTTACCCTATTACATTTAAATTTCATGGTTAAAGAGTACATGTTAAATCAGCTCAGCTAGTGCAAGAGTGGCAGTGACCTAAAATCGACATAAATATAATTTTACTTACCAAAAAAAATTAAGTAGAGACTCCTTGGACGGTCTAGTAGTGCAATTAATGCCACAGCAAGTCATTTTGTCCAACAATTGCACAAACAATATCCAAAAAAGAATACACAAACGCTCCAACTAATGGTCTAAGTTGAGACACTGAAAATCGCGGAACAGTTTTCAGGCGAGGCCTTTCCACGGAGCTAGCTCTGTGGTCACGTGGGTCTGATGCTCATTAATTATTCAGAATTTTAGGCATTTAATACACTTAAACAGAAGAGGGACAAAAAAATGCATCCCTCTCAGAGTTGTCATGAGTGTAAACTAGATCTATTGAACCTAAAACATGTTCTGGTACCAGGCTGTAAACATGTTTATTTCTGCAGAGAAATTGGTATTTTTAACATGGGAGTCAATGAGGATTTGCTCGCTTCTGACACCAGCCCCCAGCGGAAACTGCAATTTTTGTTACTTCCTGTTTGGCTTCATTTCCAGACCCGAATTATGGGGGCTTGGTGTAGACGGAGAAAGCATAAGTACACACAGCAACACACATCTGGATGGATGGTGGGTGAGAAACAATGGATAGTTAGAAGGATGGATGGATGGGTGGGTGCAGGGGCGATTCTAGCATCAGAGGTTTAAGGGTGTTGAGCACTCAGAGATCTGCCTGGTCAGGCAAGATATATTTCAACATTTTCTACATTTTAACACAATTTCACTCACATTTATGAAAGAAAACAAAAACACTGTCTTCACTAATCAAATTACAGTTTTAAACATCATATGTTTACCAGATTCTGCTAACACTGTAGCAGAATCTGGTCTCAGTGGTTCCCAATCTTCTGTCCTTGAGGATCCCTTGGCTGTGTGGTAACCTCACCATCTCAGCACAAACATGTTGTGGAAGAAGAAGAAATGCTCTTTTTATAGCACCTTTCAAGATAAAGATCACGAGGCACTTGTATGTGCTGAATTTGCACAAATTTGTTTGGAACCCCCTTGGTGGATCACAAACCCCAGGTTGGGAACCACTGGTCCAGGTGTTGTAGTTTTAAAATATGAGCAGATTAAAGATGCTGGATGAGTAGAAAAATTAGTTGGAATTGTTCTTTAATATTTGGAAACCTGAAATTGACGCCAATCTTTACGTTTTGTCTGAATTTCCACAATAGAATGACACTAAAACTACCAGTAA